AGTAGGTGGCTGGATTGGTACCCCATTTATATCCGACTTCATTGTGACATCCTCTCACCGATTCTGTGATATGACGGCCCCTCTTATGAGGACACAAGGATATATTTGCTTTAGAAGTTAAAGTGAATGAAAACTTCTCTGATTTGACAGGCTGGAACCCTTTTAGACAAGAGGTTTCTTCCATTCCCTTCATTCACTCACATCATACGATGACAGAGCTGCCGGGGATAGAGATGACTGTGTGCCAAAGGGACAGAGTCCCTGCCCTCATGGAGTTTAGGTCCTGTGGCTGTTACAGTGTCAAGAGTGAAAACAAAACCCTTGCTGTGATTTGAAGAATATGGTGTGAAATTTTCCGAGACGTTTCAGAAGCAGCTGGTCACTGTGGAAGGAGGGAAACTACCCTGAGATGGCCGTGCTCCAGAGGCCCAGAGGGACGAGGTGGCACATGGGGGAGCAGAGGAGTGTGGGCAGAGTGGGGAGCGCCCTGGTGCCATCTCGAAGAGGCCATCATGAAGTGACTCCTCCAGTCCTGGTTGCCCCAGCTAACGCTGTATGGACAGCCTAACCACCCAGAGGAGCCCTTTCCAAATTTCTGACCCACAAAATTATGAGCAAAATAAAATAGTTGTTTTATGTCTACTAAGCTCTGGAGAAAAGAATTCTAGGGACTGATCTTTCTTCCTGGACAAAGCCCTCTTTGGAGCCCTTGGTTCTTTGCAGAGTATTACTCATAACTCAGCAGGTAGGCAGGTGGTCCCCATCCTCTTCAAATGCCCCTTCTTTTTACGTGGGCATCGTCCGCTCCTTAACTTTACGAGCCATACAAATTCCTCAAAACTATTGAATAGCAAATGGAAGCTGCTGATTCCCTCCGGACCTTGTGAATGCTTGCCCTGCCTCTGAGAATTCCTTCCAGGAGCTTTTCTTGATTCTCCCAAGTTTTAGCAGCTTTCCCATGCGAGGCCTGATGCTCAACAGTGGCTGGGTGGCTGCAGACCCCTAAGATGCCGTGAGATTTGGGTTTTGACAAATGGCCACACTCATCTTGGTGGACTTTTGTTTCATGAATAAGTTTAAGTTGGCTTTGTGACTTTTTTCCTGTTCTCTTTGGGAAGTGACTTTTTTGTTGCTGTTGTTCTTTATGGGAATTGATAAAACCCGAACTGCTTATGCAAGCAGCAACCAAGGACTCCTAGTCCAGGGCTTCTATTGCTCTTTTCTTCTCTTCTCCACCCACAAAAAATTATTCACATAAAAAACTGTTCTCTGGCCAGAGCTTGGCCCCTTCTCAGCAGGGGGCTTTCTTTTTTGTTGATGTTAGAACAAATTTGGATTTCTGTCTCCAGATTTTGGGGTGCATAGCTCCAGCTTCCTTTGGAAATTTTGTTTAAACACCAGCATATTTGGAAGCCCTTTTGCCCTCTTCCTCCCAAGACCTAATAATTACAGAGCTGTTGAATTGGAGCAGCAACCCTGAGGGCCAGGGGGAGGCAGCTGCATTTCTGAACTCAGTTGGGTGTATTTAACCCATGTTTTCACACCTCTAGAGCTTGCTAGCCTTGTGACTGTCACTAGGCATAATAGGATGTCTTTGAGCCTCAGTTTCTTGATCTGTAAAATGGGGTTTAGTAACAATATCTTGTAAAGCGCTAGGCAAAGCACAAGGCACATAATGGATTCCCAAGAATCTGTAACTGTCACGATGAGGATGATGACAGCAGGGAAGACTTCTGACAGGGCTGGTGATGGCAAGGAGTTTAGTGAACAAAGCTCTAACTGTGTCTTCACAAAAGCCAGGAGCTTCCAAAATTCTTTTCTCAGTGGTACCTGCCATGAAAAGAACCTTTGAAAAAATTACCCACTTGCAAAGAAGAGTGATGCAGCCCCGGGGTTCTCCTGCTTTCCCTTCTCTGAACCACAATTTGACTCTGCAGAGAGCAAAGGTGAGAACATCAATTTTCCTTTCCATTCTGAAGCAGACTCCTCGGAGGCCTGAGGCTATAAATATAAGTGTATAATTATTCTTTCTCTAGGCCTTCTGTAAGAGGGGAGTAATCCTGATTGGTTTAAATTAAAAATAAACTCCTAGAAGCAGAGATTCTAGGCCTGCAGTGAAGAAAGGCATATGGGTTTAGGAGTCCTGATCTGGGTGGGAGTTCAGCCTCCACTCACTCTCCACAAGTTTGTACCTCGGTCTCTTGGTCTGTAAAATGGGAATAATATCTACTAATTGGGGGACATGGTGAGGCTGAGATAGTGCACACAAAATGCCTATCATGATGCCTGGCACATAATAGGTATGCCAAAATGATGTAAATTGAGTAGACAAGAATCTCCAGCTCCATTTTGCTGTCCCGAGGAAGAACTGGGGAGGAGGCAGTGAACTCCACTGTGTGGGCCAGGCCACCAAGCTGAAAAGCTGGTAATGTCTGCTGCAGGCTCAGTCTGAGAAAAGGGGTGGCCAGATCACAGGAGGGACTCAAAGATTAGACCAGAGTGAGCCGTGAGGACCTCCTGATGGAGTGTGGAGTGTGGTGGTTCTAACCCTACTGTATGAAATTCATTCTCCTCTCTATCTGGGTGACTCAGGCAGGGTCTTGGGCAGAGTCTGCTGATGGAGGAGAAGGCCAGAGTGGTCTTATCTATCCAGTTGTTTTTTCTGGAGGCTGAACATCCTGCAGAAGCATAGGAGTCTCCGGATTTAAAAGCCCTCTTACTCACAGCTATGCCCCTGTGCCCTGGATGTCAAAAGCCCTCTCAGACAAAGACGCTACTCAAGTGGAAGCCATTTATTAAAAACCTTTATTAATGCTTGAAGAAAAATAATGCATTGTGACAATGCACAGGTCCTGCTGCCTAAATCCTTAACAGAAACAGATATTATGACTTAGTAAGCTCGTGTGGTGCCAATTCTGAGATCAGACAGGGCTGTTCTTCCTTAGGAAATGGCCACTGTAAGCATTGTTTGTCCATGTTGTTTTAGCCAAGCCTTTGACTGGGTTTGAGTTTGAATCTCTCCCTTTGTGTATATGTGTGTCAAAGCATGACTGCAGTTCTGAGCTGGTGTTTTCTATTTATTTAGTTTTAGGTGTCAGCATTTGACTGTACTCACTCATCTTATTTCAGAACAACGGGGCTACTTACTGATACAAAGGAGAGGTGTTCAGATCATCTTGTTAACATGCAAAGCTGAAAATAAACATCATATCTTTATTTGGAGATCCACATCCTTCCTCAAAGGAAGGCTTGTGAGTAAATCTGTATGAAGTATGAAACCCAAGCAAAGGGTCTATTTTTAATGACTGCTTTGCTTACATTTTAGATTGTGCAAATGCCTTGATTGTTGCTAATAGGAATTTGGACTTTCCTTAGTTTTGAGCAGAAGAGCCTAAGAAATAAATACTCTTGTATGGTTCCAGGAACATTAGGAACCAGAATGAAATATATCTACCTGACTTCTGAGAAAAAAACAAAAAAACAACAACAACAAGAAGAAAACAGTGGCATGAAAGATATGCAACAGAGATCAGAAAATGAGTTCCAATGAACATAGTGAGTGATTTTATGCCTTCGGGGAAAACACAAGAGATAATAAATACAGATGACAAATATTTATTAATACAATAGAACCAACAAATGGGACATCAGTAGGCGAACACAGAAAACATTTACACGGAGGAAAATACCAAAGTGATGCCTTTCACACATGCAGTCCAGGAGCTGGAGAACAAATGAACTGCTGACTCAGCCATGAGGAGAATGTTATTGCTTTAGCTTTTGAGTGATGTGAGTAAAACAGTCAAGGCGCTGCAGTGGCCCACGGCGGGAGATGGCCGGTTTACACTCGGTTCCCATGGCAGAGCCTGACATGCAGGTCCTCCTCCCCCTGAGGGCAGAGCTGGATTAAGAGCACAGACTCCTCTGCTCTCCACAGCCCCAGATCTTGCTGGGTGTGTCTCCTGCCATGTTCCCTCCACGAAAATGATTTTTTTCCCCTAACATGAAAGATTTGGGTTGGATTTGGGGCATAGAAATACTAGCTATGTTTTGGGTAAGCTATTCCCTAGAACAAATCATTTTAGAGCAGTTACATTTAGCTTCTTGGTCTCTAGCCGGTTAAATAAAATCTTACTGGAGCAGAGCCAAGTCCTTTTGAGTTTGGGGTGTCTATGGCGGCTTGTGTGCCACAATGGCAGAGTTGAGTAGTTTGGACCAAGCCCTCACGGTCTGCCAAACTGAAAAGTACTGCATTTACTGTCTGGTCCTTTACAGAACGCGTGTGCCGACCCTTGCTCCAGAAGGGCCTGGCTAAGAACAGGCATCGCTCCTCATAATACCAGCTCCTATTCGAGTACTGGCTTCCAGAAAGGATAAGCTTTTATTTGATAGCCTATTAGGAAAAAAAAAAAAAAAAAGGTCTTATCTGTGAGATGTTTTAAATAACCACAAGAAATCCACTGCAGAGATTTTCCATGGTAATCCTGTCCCTCCCTTCCTTGTATTTTCAGCTCTGTCTCTTCTGCCTTTCTTTTGTCCATTTCTGACTCCTCGTTGCTAAATTTCCAATTAGGATCTGGAAAATCCTGTCCCTTAGAGATTTGCAGCCGTCTCCTCCATTTATGCAAAAGGTCAGCATTGCTGAATGGGAATCACTAAGTAGTCTCCATTCTCTTCTCCGCGTTCCCAGGCTCTAGCTTGGAGAAGCCAGGTTTCCTAGTGGGCCTCATAGAATCACCGGTATGGTGCATTATCGATCTTGGCTGAGGGTCAAGGTATACAAAATTCTAAGGGAAATCTGTCAAATGTGCTCGTGTGTGCCTTTTCCTCTGGGAGGAAGGTTTGCCCCAGAATGGTACGGGCCCATGTCAGGAGGTCAGATGTATAGCCACATTGGTATTTGATTCATTTTTCAATAGGACTTAAAAAAAATCATACTCAAAGGATGGGCTGGGTTTTTCCCCCCCCTTTGGAGGAGTTGGTTTTAATGACCCGGTTGCTTTGTTTGAAAACCTTTTATTTAGATGACAGATATGTGGATGTAACTGGATAAATAAAAAAGTGAAATCGAGATTTGAAGCAGTGGTTAAAATATAAACTCATAGGGGCCACTTCCTTGGTCAGTGTCCCCAAGACAGAACAATGGCTCAGAAGTTACATAGAGAACTACACTCTTCCCTCCACCCCCTCCTCCCCCAAGCAGCTCTGAACCGAAAGGTCTCATGCAAGAAACTGAATTTCGGTTTGGCACCAAGCAGCCCTCGACCCCCGTCTCTTCTCCACCTTCCTCCTGCATTCCCAGCAATATTTTTATATTCACTCCTGCCCCGGAGCCCAGACGCCCCAATCCCCACAGAGACAGCGCCAGAAGCTCCAGGGTGGGGCCCAGCACCCATCGTGCGGCCCAGTCTGGGTGGGCCTGCTCCACCCTGCCCCCTCCCCGATCTACCTCCCCCACAACAGAGCAGCTGACACCCACTGGCTCCACGGATGGAAAGAAGACAAGTCCTGAGGAGGACTCGGGCATGCTCGCGTGAGTGCGTGTGAGAGCAGAATCCACCAGGCACCACTGAGACCTCTGCTCCAGAGTCTCCATCTCACCTGCTCATTCCGCTAACATACACCTTCATGAAGTCCACAAGCCCCACAAAATCCTGCGTGTGACATCCCCCCTCTTTAATGGTAAATGTTTTGGAATGTCCATAGATAAGAAAATGGACGGCGTGGAGGAAAGATTTTGTGGCCAGGCCTCTCATTTCACCTCCGGATATCAGAATACTCGGACTGTTCATCCTCCCACTCGCTGCTTCCAGAAGGTCCCTGGGCCCCGAGGCCCCCAGCTCTGTCCCGGGCATGGGCATTTGGGTGGCTTTTGCTACCTCGCTCGCCCTTGGCATCTCGACCAGCCTCCCTACTGCTGGGCTCTGGGAGGTGATGGCCTGTGTCCCCATGGTGGGCCCTGGGGAGCCTGGCTCTGTCTACATGGAGCTGGCGCGCAGGTGGCACCGTGGGGGGCCTCTGCATGGCCGAAGTGCAGAAGCTCAGGATGGAGCACAGGCTTCCCCAGTTCTGCTCACACTGAGCCTGAACGCTGTGGGTGATGGCCTCCTTCACCTCCTCCCCACAGGTCAGCAGCAAGTTCACGAGGTCCACGTAGGGTCTAGAGAGTGAAAGCAAAGAGACAGAGATGCCGAGAATGGAACAAGTCCCGATGGGCCGCCGAGGGCAGCAGGGATGATGCTAGGAAAGAGAGGCCCAGCCAGTGCTGGGCTGGGGATTGGTTTGATGAGAGATCTTTCTGGAATTGCTCTCTGGAATTTACTTCTATTCCACAGAGTACTGGCCCCCACCAACAGTTACTGGGCTGTCAGTGTGTACCAGGCTCCATGCTGGGCGCTGGGGAGAGTTAGAGGCCTAGGGAGGCTGCCCCTGTCACAGTGGTTACAGAGAGGGAGTCCATCCCAGGAAAAAGTGCCCGTGAAAAGTCACAGGTGCCTAGGGTAAGAGCCTATGGGTGGGACATTAAAAGGAAGAACCTCTGGGAAGTCAAGAATCCCAGGTAGGGCTTCTGTCTGAACAATGAAAGGAGGGCAGGAGAGGGCACCTGCAGGCTGCCCTGGCTGTGGGAGATGGATCTTGGGGCCAGTGGAATGAGTAATTCTTAGGCGAATGGTGCAGGGCCTTAAATCCCAACCTAAGGAGTCTTTTTGGTAGGGAAGGAGCATCTGTGGATGTTTAGGGCCTGGGCAAAGGCTCCTGGATGCCCTGAGGGAACCTGCCACACCACATGCCCTTCTTCTAGTTGCTTCCTCCAAGCGACACTCCCAAGAGGCCATTTTTCTCATGTCTGTGTTTGCCACTGGTTTAAGCTTGTGATGAAGAAGAGTGTATTTAGAAGTTACTGGATGTACTTCCTGTGTCTGGAGGAGTCTGGACTAGGTGAGGAGGGGGAGGAGGGTAGGAGGACCCCGCCTCCCTGGACGTCATTTCCTGAGAGGCGGTTCCCTGTCTTGGTAGTAGGCGCTGGGGGTGGGGTGGGAGTGGCTATCTGAGCATCTTTGTCCTTTTGGTCTGGGCTTCCCCAGAATTGGGGGTGAAGCCAGCTCTCTGGAGACAAACAGGCTCAGTTTTGGAGGCAGAATCCTTCTGGCTGGCTTGGGTTGTTGGTTAGGAAAACCGCTGGAGGAGTTTACTCCACAGTGTGGATGGGGAGTAAACCAGAGCCTGCATTTTATATTTATGGGCCTATCCGGGAAGGGGTGCCCCCGGCAGTGGGTTCTCCTGGCCCTCTCCTTGAGCCCTTTAGCTTTTAAAAATCCACAGGGGTCACAGACTATTTCCTGTGGCTAAGTAACCAGCATTCCTGCTTAGCAGAGTTTCTGGATATATCTGATCATGGGCATCACAGCTCTGGGTCATTGCCTCTATCACGGAAATCACTCTGGAATGCGAGATCATCAATAACAAGGAGCAGACCCATTTCTCCTCTGTAAGGGGAGGCTGCCTTATAGCCCACGGATCTTTTCCTTGCAAGTTGGCCGCTGTTGCTATGCAGAAAGAGCAGACTGTGTATTAAGATGGATTTGTGAAGTAGTTGACTGCCATTTTTACGAATTAGTCCTCCAGTTGTAACTGGGTGAACTGTCCTCACTTTGTGGATGTAGAAACTGAAAGTAGAGGAGGGAAGGTGGCTTTTGGAAGCTTTGGGGCCAGGAGGGCTTCAGCATTGGGCTGAGAGCAGGGAGGAGGACTGTTCTGGCTGATAGAGACCTAGCTGCTTTGTAAGGGCCTCCTCCACGACTCTGGAGTCTGACAGTCTGTGCAGCTGATGGGCAAAGTGCTCAAGCCCTCTAAGGCACACCCCTCGGCCCAATAAGTCTGTCTCCTTGGGCTACCCTGAGGGTCATGCCTGCGGCAACACAAGGGAACTGCTCCACGAATAGTTAGTGGAGTTAGTTTCCTTCCATCTCTTGAAAACTAGGAACTGACTCAGGAAGCTCAAGTTCACTGAGTATACCTGCTATACCAGTGACAGCTGGATTTTAGCACCTGACTGTACCTGCCACCCCTCTGGGGCTAGGTGAGCACATTTCAGAGCTGTCTTTTCAGGATACTAACTGGGTGTTCTTCAAGCTTCTTTCCCTAGAGTAAGGGGAGGGCTCTCTTGAGAATATACAGACTGCCTCTCCTGTGCCTCCTTTGCTGGAGCCTTCTAACTGTTGGTGCCCTCAACCCCAAGGCCCTTCCAGGTCCAAGGAGGCTGGACAAGCCCATACTCTCCTCTGCCCTTGGCCCTGTCTTCCAAGGAGGAAGCTGTGAACCGTGGGGAGGGGTGTGTCTGCTGAACTAAGTTAATCTAAGCCGTGTTCGGAGCTGGCAGTGTGCCTTCTCAGGCTGCAAGCTGAGCCCGTGTCTAATGACAAAGCCCAGCTCGCTCAACTGGGTGTCAGCAAGGCTAAAGGATTTGAAAAAATACTTGGAGGGGGATGTGTTTAGAGGTTGCCAGCACCCAGTGACAGGGTGTTCGGAGGCCAAGGCAGGCTGGCTGCAGCTAGGGAGAGGCAGGCAATTGTGGGGGGGCGGTGAGGGGAGCAGAAGGGAATAAACAGAGATCTTGAAAAGAGCTGTTTTAACTGGGTGTGAGTGTTTAGGGCCAGGTGGGGATTGGGTTGAAAAATGGGGGTGGTGTAGATTCTGGGGGGACTGTGATTTCCTTTTCTCTGAAGTGAAAAGCAAATTAAGTTCTTATTTTTTTGTTTGTGACCAATGCTACACATTCTGAAATGGCTCTCTTGACATTTAGGGACTGAGAAGATCATTTAATCCATTAAAATGGTTGAAAAAATAAACACCCCCCAAACTCAGGCAATTCAGCTTGAAGTATACAAGTTGAGACATTATCTAGTTGTGGTTTCAGAAGGGAGGGTGAGGGGAGTTTTCAAGGAGGTGGAGTTAGCAGAGACCCACTGCCTAGAGGTGCTAGCCTAGTGGGAAGGAGGAGGACCTGCCTGTGAGCGTCCTTAAAAGAGGCTCATGCTTCTCATTGGGGTGGGCCACCTGCGCTTACAGAACAGGCTGGGGTCGGGGCTGCAGGCTCATCTACTGGTGTTGAGAAGAGAAGCCCTTTGGAAATAAGGGTCCTTTGACTCCAAGGGCCATGTCCCTAAGGAGACATTAGAAAACAATAGTGCTTTATCTACATCTTATATTTAAGGCAGGGGGAGGAGGAAAACTTGAAAACCTTGAGTTTTCCCAAAGAAGACTTCTCCAAAAACAGTGTTTTCATGCTCCAGGCAGGTATTACAGACTTACACAGTAATGCCCCATCACCCATTCTTTTTTTTTTTTTTTTTTTGAGACAGAGCCTCAAGCTATCTTCCTGGGTAGAGT